TCAAGTTGCACTACAAAGTCGCCAGTTCTCAGCTTCCAGCTCCACAGCTTGCTCCGCGTACTAAAGTTGTACTACAAAGTCGCCAGTTCCAGCTCCCCAGATACTCCGGGCACTCGACTTGTTTGTACTACAAAGTCGCCAGTTCTCAGCTTCCAGCTCCACAGATTGCTCCGCGTGCTAAAGTTGCACATGCACTACAGAGTCGACATGCACGATCTCCGCAGAGGGTTGCGCCGGACCGGGCCAAAACGCACCCTAGCCTGCATTTCGCGCCCTCGACAGGCACGATCTCCGCAGAGGGTTGCCCGCGCCAAATCCAAAACGCACTCTCGCCTGCATTTCGCGCCCTCGACACGCATGATCTCCACAGAGGGTTGCGAATCGCACTCTCGCCTGCATTTCGCGCATCCGACACGCACGATCTCCGCAGAGGGTTGCGCCGGACAAAACCAAATCGCACTCTTGCCTGCACTTCGCGTCCTCGACACGCACGATCTCCGCAGAGGGTTGCGCCGGACCGGGACAAGTCGCACTCTCGCCTGCATTTCGCGCTCCCGACACGCACGATCTCCGCAGAGGGTTGCCCGCGACCGGGACAAATCGCACTCTTGCCTGCGTTTCGCGCGCTCGACACGCACGAGCTCGAGTTGCGCCGGACCGGGTCAAATCGCACTCTCGCCTGCATTTCGCGCACTCGACACGCACGATCCCCGCAGAGGGTTGCCCGCGACCGGGACAAATCACACTCTCGCCTGCATTTCGCGCCCTCGACACGCACGATCTCCGCAGAGGGAAGCGTTTCGCGGCGGTCCGGCGGCACTGCCCCCGGCCTTAAGAGAGAAAGTTAAGAAGAGCGAGAGGTGAAGATGTGAGATGTAGATGAGAGGTAAAGATGTGGTAGATGTGAGGATGTGAAGATGAGCAGAGATGTATAGATGTGCAGATGTGAGCATGAGCAGAAATGTAGATGTGTGAAGATGAAGATGAGCAGAGATGTCGATGTGAGGCTGTGAAGATGCGCAGAGATGTAGATGCGCAGTTGTGAATGTAGATGTGAAGATGAGCAAAGATATGTGAGAATGTGGATGTGCGGAGGTGAAGATGTGAAGATGTAGATGAGACGTAGTTCTGCAGATGTTTTTTACGAAGAACCCTTCGCAGACGCTCTCGGGAACAAAAACGAACAAAAACATACAAAAGCCATGTTGAGGCAGTCAGATGGCGCAGCTCAAACTGCTGCAGCTTACGGTTGCTCGCTTCCAAGGATCGATAGTATCCGCGGACAGTATGGCTTAATGAGAGGCCCTCGAAGAGCATGAACAACAACAGCAATGACCTGTTGTGGCATTTTTGGGACACCTGATCACCCCAAAGGTAAAAAAGAGAGATTGTGGTCCCCCAGCCCCAAGCGTACGCTTATTGAAGGTTTTTGAAGCCCCCAACTAAGAGGGAACGTTCAAAAGGTGTACATGAACCAAAAAGCATTCAAAAGCGTTTGGTTGCTCAGCCATCCGAAGCGACCAAATGACCATCAGATCTTCTGCGGGATTGAGCACGCCAAAAGTGCCAGCCAAAAAGACACATACACACAGATTGCATACAGTGAAACCTAGCATCAAGGGCTTCACCTGCAGGATTCTGGATTTTCCGCTGGACACTTCTGGATGAGCCTTCAGAAATGCAGCGAGCTCGAAGATGCACCACAATCGATCCGCATACGATTCGTCCCAAACGACAAGAAGGGATTTGGAAGCCTTCAGCATAGCTCCAATGTTCATGATTCTCTCAGCCTTCATGCGTCCATCAAATTGATTGATGCACATTCTATCAACAAACACTAAGCGGTGAGATCTCCAAAATATCAGGGTCGACAGCCCAAGGGTCATGCCAACAACAGAACACCAAAAGGAAAACTGGAACTCGAGCTTGACAAAGCCAGGTAGGAAACCGAACTGCCAAAGTACCACCATGAGCAAAGCTCCCGAAGTACCGATCACGCTGGCAGGAAAGCCATTTTTCAAGATCATCAGGAGCAAGACTTTCTTCCAGCTTTCGACCTGCCAGCTATGACTCAAGAACTCATCATAAGATGTCGTCTCCTTGCTGAGCTGAAAGAAATCTCCCTCCGCCGTCCAGAAGACCTTCCCCACACACGCCAGCACTCGATGCAGGGGCACCGCCCGCATGATCTCGGGGCGGGTGGGCTCCATTCGCTCAATCATGGCCACCAGCCGCGCGAGCCGCGTTTTGGCCAGGTCGGAGTCCACGTCTGGCAGCTCGGCCTTGTGGCTGGCTTCACGGATCGACGATCGGATCGGTCATGTTTTTCCTCTGCGGATCTGCCGTTTTGGGGGCAAAAAGGATAGATCAAGCTTCGCCGGGGTTGAAGGATCCCGTCAAAGTGCAAAACGCATCTCCTTGCAAGGCCCAACATCGCCAACAGATTGGAGCCTCAAATGTCAGAATACGTCAGAATAGTTTTTCTACATGTGAAAAAAAAGAAGCGAACATTCCGTCCCCTTCTTTCTCAGCCCAGCCGACCCACACACCTCCCGTTCAGGATGGATGAGTCATCCTCGTTTTGGGGGGCTCTCTCTTGGACCTGGACCGGAAGCCAACGATCATCCGCGGTGTGGAGAATGATTAGCTGGCGATTGGCAATCCCAGAATTTCTAGCCAAGGGGTTCGGGAACTGGGAACTCCCTGTAGCTTCTGGGTTCCCTGAATGGAAGAGGAAGATGGATACCCAAAAGGCGACCCCAGGTCAACCGCTCGCTCCGAGCACCAGCTCGGTTGATTGAATTCTGCCTCATCTGGGACGCACTCTTCCAAATCAATGTCCTCAAAGTCGTCACTCACCTCGGCAGCGAACCAAGGACGCCATGCGCATCCCCCGGCCGGGGTCCTTCCCAATGCGAAAGGATCCCCGGTTCCAACTGTTTTGTACATAGAGGATCTTAACTGCAATATATTGGAATAACATGGAATAACCTGGCAACTAGGACCCTTCATGTGGTTCTTCGTTTCTGGTCGGGACTGGGTTTCCAGGTTGTCATAGAATTGCCGCCAATGACATGAAGAAAGAAGAAAACGTGTCCTCCAACCGCCCGCACCCTGCAAGCGCCCTCGCCCTCACTCTTGCGCCCAGGCGCCACATGGTGTGCTGTGTGCCCTTCCATGGGAAGATCTTCGTTGGGGCTGGTCCTGAGCTGAGCTGGGCCAGCAACAAAAGGCTCAGAAGGAGCAAAAGAGGTAGAGCGCCCCCTCCGAGGGCCCGGCAATCACTTGCGCACTGGGAATTTACATCACTTGCGCACTGGGCATCAATCACTTGTGCACTTACCTGCTTCCTGGCTCCGGGGTGGGGCGTGCTCCACATGCAACTAATGAGTGGGTTGGGGTGGGGGGTGGGGGGTGGGGTGGGGGGGGTTGCAGTTGCCGACCATACAGTGTGACTCCGAGGTTTTGAATATAGGTTGCCAGGACAAGGTCAACATCTTTACACCCACACACTCTGACATTGGTTTGCAGTTAACTCAATTCCCAGGAAAAATGGCGATGGAACCGAAAGGTGAAAGAGTCGGAGCACTTGAAGGTGTTTTAACAAAGGAGTTGTTCACTTGACTGCGGAAGCTAGTTACTGCATTAGCCCTTTACTGCAAGAACGGTAAGGTGCAAGGTCCGAAGAACAGAACTGTTTAACAAACGCACTAGCACTTTACCAAAGCTAAGGAAACCTGTTTTGGGGGATATCATGCGAACAACCACCATGGAAACAACAAAAGGAAAAGTGGAGTCACAGCGTGTGCAAAAGTTTTCATCCGCGCAGGTACAGAAGTTTGCGTCCAAACTTCCATCCAGTCGATTTCCCTAGCTTCGTTGGCGTGACTAGGAAATCGACCGCCACGCCCCCTGCGACTTAAAAGTTGAGAAAAACAGAAACTCTTAGTTACAGAGGTGGACACACACAGAACGCCGATATCGGCGCTCTGGGGGAACTTACTAATCACCTAAAAAGCCTTAGAAAAGACAGAAAGGAAAACGCAAAGGAAAGAGAGAAAGATAGGTGTAGTGACAAGGCCCACTAGTTACGAAACCTGCTAGTTACTGACTACTTAGCCGAGTGAATTAAATGCAACAGTTAGCAAGCGGGTCATACGTCTTAAACCGCCCGGGTAGCTGGGAGTAGAAAAGGAGAAACAGAAGGAAAGGTACCGACACACAAGTGTGTCGAGTACCATTTCCTTCTGTTACCCTAGATAGCGGGTGGGATAGAAACACGAATTAGGTTGCAAGGTGGGGGGGTGGGCTGGAAGTGCAAGTGTGGACAGTAGCTTCACTGGTCTCAATTCCTCACATGGAAATGCAGCACATGGAAATGCAAGTGGAGATGCAAGTGGAGGTATTTCGTAAGCCCGACGGCATCAAATTCAGTAAATCCAGAAAATCCAAAGAGAGGTGGAGAACGGTGGGGTCAGTTACACGATTTCCGGAATGAAAACAGCGCCTCCT